GTTACTAGTACATACTATATACGTAAGTAAGTACGTACTGTCACACACACACACACACACACACACACACACACACACACACACACACACACACACACACACACACACAGTATACAGTATGACGACACAAACAACATCAACATGTTGTCCTGAGGGTTGTTCTCAACAGCAGAAGTCAAAGCACTCGGCACGCTACCATATACATCCAGATACATCATGATGAACAAGTTGTTCAGTTTCTGGGTAAGAAACAGCTGATATTTCCTTCTACTCTTAATAGTGCATCACATCAGCCATTACATGCACACAAATAGGGCTGAAATCTGACCATATCATACCCTGGAATGAAATGCAGTCAAAAAAGTTCGTAAAACTAAAGTGCCAAACATTATCTATTGTCAGAATATCAAAAAACAACTTTTGGTGGATATGTTTTATTTTCGTATAGGAAAGTATTTATTGGTAGCAAGCATATGGAAAGACTCATTCACTTAAAATAACTGAATGATTTTAACTTACGGTCATGAATAAATATGATAGATATTACATAATATATAATAACATAAGCCAACATTCTCAAATACATGAACGCTCACTGTCAGTTTATCCTTCTGCTGCTGCTTTTCTCCGCTTTGACATGACCAGGTAAAACATATGGATACATATATTTAGCTACTTTTCAGAGCAGCTTCAGTCAGTGTTCAGTTCAATGGCAAGTTTGAAGACCTTTATTTACCTTGTCACGTCTCTACCTATCCTCCTTTGCTTTTCTGTCGCTTCTGTGGTTTCAACTTTCATCGCCAAACTATCCTAAAAAGTATCTCATGTCTTCATAAAATCATGGGATTAGGTAGTAATGCCATTAAACCATTGCTCCATGTCTCTCCCTGCTGTTTTGTGTTGTGCCATCGTCCATAAACATATTTTCTCTTCACAGTTGTGTCTTTCTCCCATTATCAGATCCCATCTCTCAGTTTGTCCTTACGATGGTCTTGTGACAGTGGTGGATGGTGGCTTTGCTGCCACATGAGCCTATAAAACAATGTATACATGTGCCAGTGTAGCCGTCTTGTTACAGTAACGCTCGAGGGGGTGACTGATTCCCTCCTGATCTTAAAGTCTGCACAAAATAGTGAAATAGAAAGAGACCATCTTTTTGTCTCCAGGTGAGTGTTTATAATGTAAATTCTCACATTGTGGGTAACACATACACCAACACACACACACACAAACACACAAGTATCATGTTCCCGTTGGCATTATACGCTAATTATGACTGTGTTATTGCCCTGTGTGTGTATAATGTAAGCAGATGCCAGTGAGAATAACCTTAGAATTTGCACTTGCATGTTCTTGGATTTACTGTGAGCCTTGCTTCTCTCTCTCCTCTCTCCCTCTCTCCTCTCTCCCTTTCCTCTCTCCTCATGTTTGGTCATGCTGCCCCTCTCAGACAAACATAGCGCCAGACACTTGAGGTTCTGCGAGAGAAAGCAAACACAGAGAAGCATAGAGAGCTCAGTAACTCAGAGTCTGACAGAGAGAGAGGAAAACAAATGAACGACTAAGTGCGGCTCAGCTGAGGACCTGACCAAGGCTCTTCCCACTGGCTTAAGGTTGTCCTCACTCACTCGAGTGTCGGTGCAGAATGGATTTCATTTTGGTGGAGCAGCCGGAGACCAGGAGCAGCAGCTTTGTAGAATACTATCCCTCCTTTTGGATTATTTCAGACACCGCTGCTGTTGAATGGGAATGACAGCATGCAGAAAGGAAGGAAAGGAAGATGGTAATATGACAATCTGCTCTGTTTGAGATGTTTCTCACTTTCATCCTATTCTGTCTTTTTCCTAGACCCACCCTCGAATCATATTTTAACTTTAAATTCACCTCAAAGATATGTTTTTTTACTAGCATTACGTCTGGAGGGGAGTTTTAGCTTCATAATCCGTGGTTTCCCTGTAATATACCTCTGAGATGACAGAGGAGGGTGATGTGCTTTATGTTACTCCAACTTTAGAAGGTGACTTACATAACATCTTTAGCACTGACACAACAAGTTAATTAATGGATTGGTCTAGCAACTTAAAAACTATTTTGACAAATCATTAATTGTTTGACATTCATCAAACCAACATTCTTAAAAGCTGATTGAAAGTCTGCCACCTTTATCCTTTTTATATTGTTTGTACATCGGAATATCTTTGGGGTTTGACAACTATAAGAATCTTGAAAATGTTTCCCATATTTTCTGAAATTGTACTAATAAATGGTTTATTAATCAAATGATGTAATTGATATACATAATGATAAGCATGACTGGCAGCCCTGAACATCTTATGACTTCAATGGTTCATGTTCAATTTCCTTGTAACATGCAACAGTAACAATTCTGCCTCCTGTTCTAGCTGTCATTTATTTATTACGTTGTGACAAGTAGTCTTTTATGTTGAAACATGCATGTACTCTGTGTACAAGTACAGCATAGCTCTCATAGCTGGCTACTGCTCTCTGCTCGAGTGTTTTGACACAAGGTGAGGGTCTCAGGTTACAGAGCATTAGGGCAGATTTCACAAACCAGCCACTGTATCTGCCTCCTTCCTGGACCCCTTTACTGGCATGTGAGTCACACAGGAGGGGCAGCCATACAGCATCAGGGAGGGGATGCCTGAAGTCAGAGCTTTTGTCGGATGTAAGGATTTGGAAAATGCAACACTTTCTTTAATTCTAAACCTGTTGAGAAACTGCGTATCCTGCTGATGGTGAATGGATGCGTGCTCACACCTCGGCTGCAGAGTGGGTGTGCCCCGTTTATACCCATTTATAGATTTAGTTTGGCTTACTTTGACTGGGAGGATGTTAAGGAGCTGCATTTTAAAATGCCCGCCCAGCTCTCCTGTAGGTTTGATTTGGCAGGACACTATGTGTGTGTGTACTGCTGTGATTTTCCCGCCCTGTTTCCCTGCATATTTGCCATGTTGTTGAAACCAGTCCATTAACCTGAGTATTCCTGTTTAGGAGTGACCTCAATGTTTGGGTATTTGTTCCTGTGCTGACCAGCTCACACAGAGCATCCCTTCTCTCTCAGCAGAAAGACATCTTGTCCCTTTCCCGGTGATTCAATGGAAATACACTACAGTACGTTTAACACCTCCCTTTTACATGGTTTATACTGGCTAGGAACGTGGCTTAATCCTTGTTCAGAGTACACAGCAACATGGTTGATAATACATGAATAAATGTCTTGTTTTGTTTGAGCAAATCATGTTTACAATAATATTACAAAGAAAAAACAGAAACTTGTGTCACTTTAAGGAATGATTTCACTCTTTCTGTATGAGAAATCATGGCTGAGTAGTTCATCTGTGTTTCCACCTGTTTGATCTCAGTGATCGTTTCTGGTTGTTTGTTATGAAATCTGCCGGTGTGACTTACATTAAGCAGCTGTGAGCTAATTACAGATGAGATGAGTGTGTCAGTGAAAGCTAAGCCACACTTTGGTGTAATAACACGCCTTGCACACACACAGCGCAGACACGTCACCTCACTCACGATGAGTTTAAATACGCGCTTAAAGTCATGGCTTTTTCATAATTCCCTGACGTGTTTTTAATGACTTAAACACAGGCCTCGCTGCTTCCTGACTGCTACTTTACAGCCACCTTCAAACCGTCCTGCTGATCAAGGCCTTCATGATTAGTGTTTGCCTTCCGCGCGCTCCGGTTTGCTGATCCCTGTGAAGCTACTAAATATACCGTCTGGCCGGCTGGTGCCTCCGTGGTCATGTACAGAAGCTCTGCTCAGGCTGTGTTTATGTCCGACCTCAGTGTGATCTGGTCTGTGCTCCGGTGTCAACCGGTGTGATGAGGTGGTGAGCCACCACACATGCCACTCAGAAAGAAAAAAAAACAGATACAGAGTAAAAAAAAAACATCATGTGACTTTTTGAACGATTTTTGTCTAAAGACTCAGCGATAAGGCTAAAAGGAACAACATGGTATCTAATAGGTGCATCAATCTAACCCAAAATAAAATGCCCCTTGACAAAAATGGCCTTTATCTTCCCATGCTGAAGATTTGCCAGTTATAAATAGCACAGAGTAATACATTATTTACAAATGTTCAAAAGAGATAACAAATATGTTCTTTGGCAACTTCAAAAGGCCGGATATTGTATTCACTTTCATCTCAAATCTATATTTTGGCCGTTTCCAAAGGCAGCAACAATGTGGGGAACTGATTTAAACAGCCAAATAATTGATTCCATTTTAAGTGCAATGATTAAAGGACACTGATTGAATCTTATTGATTCTTATTTCTAATGTCAAATTGCCATTAAACACTTCTACTTGCCATTAAACACTTCTACGATTTTTAGTTTTGCTGTAGTTTAGTAGTTAACATAATAGTTATTGATAATACATAAGTACATTTTAAATGCTTCATAATAGTGAACATTTTCTTCTCTCATCACCAATACACTTTGCTCAAATCCATCTTTTGTTGTTGGCCATGCACCTACTTGTGTTCAGTGGCTTCTTATTAATGAAGTGATGGTTGAGCGTAAAATACAGCCATATCAAACACCTGCAGCAGAGATTTGGGATTGTAATTTGATTTAAAATGGTGAGGTGGAAAGCTTGCTGAAGTTGTAGTCTTTTTCAACCGAGGTCGGATACAGCAGAGTGCTCCTGGAGTCGATTTAGCTGATTGGCCAAAATGCAAACCCTCAATCTCCCCGACCTTGACTCCTCGCTTACTCAGCATCGGCAGTATTTAAGAATGTTCCCGTCACATTTAGGACTCACACTTCCTCTGATCTTTCCTGACAGCAGGAGAATGGATAGGTAACTTGTTTAGGAAACAGAATGAATTTATAAGTCTGCCTCTGTATACTCAGATGTCCTCTCCAAAGATATAGCAAATCTTGTGTGAAGTGTTAAGAGCCGATAAATCCCCATGTTGAAATGAAACAGCACTCAAGGTGTGAAAGAAAAGCTGCCAACAATGCTTTATGTTCACTGCCAGTGTGATCAGTCATCTTACACAAACACATCACTGTTATATTCATCCAAAGACGTGTAACATTAACATGTGTGTTTGCCTTGACTTGACACATGGGTCCCACCTGCTGATTGACATTATTTGTAGAAGCTGCATCATATGGGTATAAATGGCAATTTTCTTGGCGATTTTTTCAATCTGACTTCATATTGACAATTTTAACAACAGAGGGTGCTACATAACACACTCTCAGGAAAAGAAAAGTCACGGACTGGGAGACTTTAATATGTTATTGAAAAAAAGTTACATACAATCAAAAAACAGCTGCGGGTAAAATTGACCCGTTGGCGGTTCTAGTGTTAAATAAACTAGAAAGTGCTCAGGACACTCATACTTTTGTTTAGGTGATTTAAATGGTGGGTGACATTGACACAGTCATCTGTCCATTCTGTCTGTTTCCCGTTTAAAACTAATTTGAACTAAATAAATTGTCGTTTTAACTGAAAACAAGACCATGCCTGAAACTCAAGTTTGGTAGGCAGATGTAGTTCCATTAGGTTTCCATAACTTGTGATATTAAATTGTGATAAAGTCCTTCCTGTACGTTAACCATGTCTGTCCTTCAACTGTTCTTTGTGTGGGCAGCAGGAAAACCATTTTTGATAGTGTAATCCAGTGGGGAATCTGTATAGAAAAGATGAAAAACCGCAGACATAAACACAGGAAATGGATTCTTTCCCTGCTTATTTAGAGGCAGTATCAGAGTCTGTGGAGGCCGATTCACATCACTTGTGCTTATTGTACTTTGCATATTTCTCAGGCATTTTGTATACATGATGCTACACAGACTGAATATTTGTGATGCTTCTCTATTGAAACGCGGGGGTTGGGGTACAGCGGTTGTATAAATAATAATAAGTAAAGACAACCTTTATGTTATATTGATCTAAGTGTGTGAAAGGATTTTGATATTAAGTTTATATTTTATAATAACAATATTAATGATTTCCTCTGTTTTCTTATGATTGAAATTAGTTAATGAATTTGGAATACATGTCACCACCTCTCCCTCTCCCACCATTTCCTGTCCTTCTCTATATCATCAAATTTAAAAAGGGAAAATACCCCCAAAAACCTATTAAATATAAAATGTCACTGTTAAATCAGTGGAGAAATGTCCTAAAGGAATGGATGAAGTCACCATGCTCTCCTTCTATCATTGTTAAATATGTATTTCTTGTCAAGGCTGCTTGACACCAGGAATGTGTTAAGACTATTTCTGTTTCATAATGTTACTGGACAGAGACATTCAAACTGTCCTCAGCTCCAGCTATGGGACATCTTATCCACAGTAACGTGAGTCGTCATTTATTTCAGTAGCTGAGCGATCTGGGTGTTTATATTGAGCCGTGTGAATCTGCAGCAACAGTGTGCTGGCCCGGGCATGTCCATGCAGTCCTCTCATACACCACATACTGCAGACTGACAAACAGACACACACATCAGTAAAACACACTCAGCACGGCTGCTAAATGTTTTCTTTATTCAAATTCTCCAAGCTGACTCATATTACCAGTGTTATCACGTGTTATCACGCTCCAAGTAAAATGTCACTTGTTTTGTAAGCGCTCAAAGCATTTGCATGTCCTATCACTTTAGCCAGGAGACCCAACCCGTCACCACCGTTTAGTTTTCTTCTTTAGTTCCGATTCATTTTAAATTCCAGCCACCCAGAATCCCAGACCTCCTTCACAGACAACAGAGAAGAAACACTGAGATTATAAAAAATGTGATGAAGCAGGCGTTCATTTTATCTAGGACGGGCAAGCGTTTTGATTTAATTTAACTTTATGAGCTGTGAACTGAATGTGCTTTACAGTACACATCGTGCTTCTGGGTCTGCCACCATCCTCCTCCTCCTCCTCCTCCTCCTCCTCCTCCTCCTTCCTCTGTTATCTTGATGACCATCACTATGTCCTGTCCCAGCGGGTTGTGGCGGGCTGACCAGAAAGCTGTGAGTCACAGTCTTTATTTCTGTAGCTGTAGGGGTTGAGGATTGGCTGAGAGTCCAGCATTTCAGATCATAATGTGAGGCTATAAGGCAGAGAGAGTGGATGGCTGTTGTTGTGAGGGGGGAAAGCAGATAAGAAACCGAAGGACCAAAGCGCTTTATCGTTTTCTTTTTAAAGGTGCGAAGAAGGACATGCACAACAGATAGCAGAGCTGGAGGGTTACAGAGCAGTGTTAGTCTGAGGGGACATACTTCATCACACCCTAACACACATTTCTCTGCAGTGAGGGAAAAAGATGATCTAAATTAAAGTACTAATACCTGAAATACTTGAATTTTAACTTAACGTCTGAATTTAATTTCTTATTTATTTAAAGAAATTAGTATGTATAATCAAGAAATGTACTTTAAGTTAAAATGTACTCCTTTTGCAGCTAAATGGGCCACATCTTTAGTTGTTACATTTTTATATCATATTATTACATTAGTATTATTACTGATGCAGTGAAAAGCACAATTAACTTGCTACAAAAGTTCTAATTTATTCATTTTTTATACTGTTACGTAATTTACTGTTTGACAGTTTGCATTAAATTGTATGTATTCATTTCAGGTTTTAAAACATTTAACCGCAAAGTAACTACTTTTCACTACTACTTATCTGTTTCATCTTAATACATCCATATCTGCTTTTCTTCTCCACCACAGTGGGAAGCCATATTTTCAGTGGAATGATTTTAACTAAAATATATGAAACAGTTTAACTATGTTCATTAAAAGCAAATTAACTGGTTCATTCTACTCTGGACAGGAAGGTTTTTAAACTAGGACGCGTTTCCTGGCTCCTACGCTGACATGATGCAATCTCATACAGTAAATGACACTGGACACAGCCCTGGGGAAAAAGGGCAGCAACATTCCTGCTCTGCGTGGACATTCACACACAACCCTTCCTGTTGCCATATATCTCCTGAGAGCCTCAGATATGCGTGTATATACATTAACCCCCGAGGTCCTCTGCTGTGGCCTTTGACTGGTTCTAAATAAAGCAGGACCTAAAAGTAGGTAGCGGGCCATGAGTTCAGGTCAAAGGGAATGTGAAACCAAAGACCAGGAGGGAGCTAGCCTCAGAGCAACACACTGTGTTTACGTGGATGTTTTCTGTCAGGCAGGCTGACTATATTTTTAATGATGAGCACAGAGTGTTTGTGTTTGTGTAGCTATTCTCTCAGCAGGCTGAGGACAGATGTGTGTAATTTACTGTGAGACGCAAGGGAGATGATTGTGACTGACTCCTGGTTTCCTGTTGTGGAGCAGTACTGTCCATTACACAGTAATATGTATCTGTTTTAAAAATAGGTTTAAAATCCAGATTCAGGGAATCTAAAAAAGAAAGTTTCTGGGAAACTTAAAAAGGTCTCGGGGAGGCTTTAATAGACAGGGTTATTCATTTATTTTATACCCGTGTTATTCATGTTTTATCTTTATTTTATTATCTTGCTTTTTAATGACTGTTTTTAAATATGATTTTATAATGTTTTTCTGCTGCACTATTTCTTCATTCTCTTAATGTCTTTTATTTTTGTAAAGCACTTTGAATTGCCTTGTGTTGAAATGTGCTATATAAATAAACGTGCCTTGCCATACAGGAAATTCAAGTACTGTAAATGCCTTTTGCAGACTTCTGTAGTTCACATCAATGATGAAAATCCTCATTTTAATAAGGCATCAAATCCGTTTTTTCATCAATTCTAAAATGTAATGATTGAAGCCATCCTCTGAATCATGTAATTGTTAATAAAATATTGTTAAGGAAATTCAAATGGGCAATTTCACCTATTTTCTTAATATAATCAATGGAATTGAATACTCAATTCAATTAAATCATTAATCTGATCATCTAGTTTCATGTGTAGCAGGAACCCAGAATTGATAAATGAATAAAAAAGGCAATTACATTTTCAAACTCACTATCAGAGTGAATCCTCACTTGTTTTAATTCAGAACGAAGGGTTGAGTTCTTGAACAATGTTTGGCAGGATGACAGAGTTTATGTTTGCTCATATATTTATCTTCAATCTGTACTGCATTTTATACTACCAATGTAATCCTTATTATTATTATTGCACTATTTTTATTCTTCATTATTTAATTACTTACATGTAATCACTATTTGCATTACCTTCATTAATGCCATCTATTACCTCGGAGTGCCATTCCTGTGTTCATCAGTGTTTGCATGTTTAGTGGAACTTACTGAATGCCTACATTTCCATTGGGATAAATAAAGTATCAATCTATTTAGAATAAAGCAACTTTTTCCAGCATACAGTATGGCCGTTACATCCTGAGTCACTGGTGGGAAGTTCAGAGTGATGCACATCTACAGTATACAGCACCCACAGATCATAGCCTGGTTTACAGTAAATGATGCAGTGGGGATCATCAAGGACCCAGTAGGATGTCGAGCAGAGCTTTTATTGAGCCCTTGTTTCCTCTCTTGTGTTTTCAGAACCCTAATTCTCTGGAAAGCTCGATCCAGAACCTGCTGTCGGTGCTGTACCCTCCCTTCGAGGCTACCGCCCCCACTCTCCTCAGCCAGCTCTTCCAAGTCATAGATAGCCGTTATCGGGGGGATGCCCTGCGGTGCCTGCTGGACTTTCTGGTGCCAGCCAAACACATCTTAGACAGCGTGCAACAGGCTGCATGTGTAAGTCACTGTTTATAATACACTTATGAATAAAGACACTTACATTCCCTATGTTGATATGAAACAAAGCTGCCCAAAGATCTTCTAGCTGGGCTTTCATAAGAAAAATAAGCTTATACTTTCTGAATCTGAGTATTTTCTCTCCTTTAGGCTCAGTACTCTGATGTTCTATTCCTGTGTGAGGGCTGGCCTCTGTGTTTGCGTGACCAAGTTGTCGTCCACCTTGCTCCCATCAACCCGCTGATACTTCAGCCCGGCGACTTCTACCTCCAGGTGGCCCCTTTCTGTGACCAATCAGCTCGCATCGTAGTCTGCAGCCTCCTGGAAGAGGAGGGGCTTCAGGTGGAAGTAGTAGAGGAGAATCCCATCCCTGAGACTTCCTATTCTTGTATATTCAGCTCTGACTGGTTGGAAGAGATCAACCAAGGCCGCCATGGAACGCCTCTCAGCCGCTGCCTGCTAACCACCGAGCAGGGCGTGTTGAGGTTACCATGGGGACGGGTTGCTGTGCCTGATTTTGTGGACGTGCCGCTGTGTGCTGGGAGTAGCATGGCCTCTGCTCCTCCTTCATATCCTCCTTTACCTCCGATTCCTCCACCTCTTCCTAATTTTTCTGAGAGCTCTTCTTCAAATTCTTTATTTCCTCTTCCTCCTTCAAAAGAATCGGCACCAAAACAGTATCCTGTTAGCATTCATAATTCAAATGTATCATCTTCTTCTCATCCGTCTGCCTTCTCCGTGGAGACCAGAATATGTCCAGTGAGGCACGGCATTGCTGTGTCACTCCGCCTGGTGGATACTAGCGCTGCGTCTTCCTCGCGGCCGGTCAAAGTTAAAGAACCTGAAGCTGAGCCTAAGCCTGTGGGCTGGGTGTCCCCTAATACTTGGGACAGCTGCTCCACTGGGGCAGGTCCAAAAACAAGCACTGCTCCATGTGCAGGCACTTCTGCAAGGGAAGATACAACTAGATGCAAAGGTGAAGAAAAGGCTGGAATTGTTTCTGAAAATATAGGTCTGCAAAAACCTAAAGATATAAGCAGAAGAGGCCCAGTTGTGGAGGAAGGGGAATATATTGATATACTTCAGGCAACTATGCTTTTTAGTAGAGCTAAGTCAGCAACTAAAGAACGGCAGAAATTAGAAGTGCAAATGCAACCACACACACAAATTGAACCACAAATGCAAAGGCTTCCACACAGGCCACCTCATCCACAAATGGAGTCGCACAGGCAAACACAGAGTCATCCACCTCAAGCCCAGTCACAAGCTCAGGTGCAGTTTCTCACAAAGCCACAAACTCAAAGTCATGTTAGACCAGAGGCGGCTGCATCATTTAGGCCCATCGTGTCTGAAAAACCACCTCCGTACCATTCCCAATCCCATCAGCCTCACCCTGACTCCCTGGAGGTTTCTCAGTGTGTCCGCTTCTCAGAGAAACCATGTACCCCGTGCCAGAGGAGAAGACAAGGCGGAAAGGCCTCCAGGGCTCCGGAGCTGATGTGTCGATACAGGGACTCCTACCAGGCTGCTATAAACAACCCTGTCAACTTTAAACAGGAGAAGGGGCACATGTTGGCAATGGTAGAGGAGGATGGTTTCTCTAAGTGTGATGAAAGACTACCAGAGACAGAGGATCCGCGGTGTTATGTTCAAGGAATGTGGATTAACCCTGCTACGCAACAGCAGCCTCCTTCCTCGGTCTGTGAGGAGTCGGGAGAAAAAAACTCTGTTCCATATTGGAAAACAGGAGATACAAAAAATGCCCCCTGTATGGATTACAGGGGAACACATGCTTTAAAATGTGGTGGGCAATCAGAAGCAACACCTGAAAGGACCACTCAGCCATTTAGGGAACCCAGGGATGCACACTCTGCCAAAACTTATGGCAATTTACACAATGTAAACGGGACACATTTAGCGGCAGGAACGAGGACAAACACTAATAGAGCTTTGTCTAGTTCAAACAATCAGTCAGATGTCCTCTCTGTTAAACACGGCGGATTACCGTTTACTTCCTCTGAAATCTCAGCGGTGAACCTCAAGCCTCGTGAAAGGCTACAAAGCAGAACCATTTCCACGGGAGTGAGTGCTAACTTTCCTCTTTCAGCGTCGCAGAACAGACCGGAGTCCATGTCTGATGGCAGATGTTCCTCCCTGTCCACAGCTGTGGTGGACACCTCTGAGAAGTGTTCGCTGGTCCTTGTTGAAGGTCAAAATGTTCGGAGAAAAGACAACTCCGGCTCCTGTGGAAAGATTCCCCAGCTGCATGTGGTGAAATGTAAAAACAGCACAGCCTTTGGACTGGTTTCACCCAAGATCAACCGGAGGAATATGGCAGCTCCAGGTACTAATGTCATCTTCTTCTTTTAACTTATTCTACTCTGGTCAGACCTTTAGCAGGAGTTTGTGCATTTCATAATTGCATAGAACTTACATAAAGGTGCTTCTAATAAGCGTTTAGTAGCATTACAAACACTCATTCACACACTTGTTACATTTAAATAATTTAAAATAACTTGTTACCAATTTATAGATTGCTTTATATTGTTAAAAAAAGACCTAGAAGTTGCTTATAATTATTTTCTAATAGCAATACAGATACATTTATTGACTATCGTACCTTACTTTTACAAACCTTTTTGTTGCTATCTTAAGATAAATCATTTTATTTTTTGTAGCTAACTATGCACTTACTAACAGTGAATTATGCTATTTACAGCTACCAGTTATAAATTGAAATACGCTTTATGCTTTAAATCCATTAAAAACAAAAATCTAATACGGATTTTGTCATTGTTCTTAAACAGTATATAAATGTTTTAAAAGTGACTTGTAAGTGCTTATAAATGTCTTATAATCTAACAAAAAACATGTTTATGATGCTCTTAGTACTTATGTGGTCTTATTAGAACATAATGATGGTAATAAGCATCTTGTAGGGGCATTTTTACCTATTAACTAACACGTTGTTGTGTAGCGGATTAGAACCAGTCAAATGTGTCCACTCTCCACAGAAGCTGCTCAGCCTGGCAGTACGTTCAGCAGCAGGGATGGCAACATGACGGAGAAGCCACCACAGACAGATCCAATTCAAGCAGCAGAGACACAGAAGATGTCCCAGCCCACCTCCACCCGTCCCAGACCGGACCACCTCCCCCTGGGGTCCCCGGACCCCAGAGCCCACCCCCTCTACTTAGGAGTGGCAGCTCTCACCGGTGAGTTAGTTTGAGACGCAGCAAATAACCAGGATGATCAAATGAATCAATATACATTGTTATTTGCTCTGCATTAACAGAACACATGTACAAATGAGAACAAATTAAATAATTGTATTTAATTAAATACAAAGAAGCCTCCCTCCTTGGTAATCCTCCTCAAGTGTCAACATGAGCAAAACTGGGATTCATTCATAACAAAGTGGATGCTTTATTCTCTCTATTCTCTCTTTTAGAGGTCAATAAATGACTGTTCATTCTCCCAGAGAACAGCATGTTCCCTGATCTTTCCTCTCTCTCACCCCTACAGGCGGCAGAGACAGGACAGGCCGGGCAATCGTGGAGCTGTACGGGCATCACCAGGGATGGAGATCAGCTGTCACCAGCCAGGAGCTCTTCCAGATGCTGCTCTACTTCCGCACCATCACCAGGTCACATCTATATGCCAGTAAAACCATGAAGACATTAATCAACCAGGCTTTAACAAACCCTGTGTATTTAAAGTCAATCTACAAAGAAGTTTTAGCATTGTTGTGGTCATGTCTGTTTTATTGTGGTTGTGTATTTATTGGCTATTTATTTTCTGGATCCAGGAGAGAAATCAGAGAAGCTGGGATGACTCTTATTTTTGATTCGAGGAAGATAAATCCTCAGCCGCAGCTCTACAAGGCCTTGATGACGCTTCAGGTAATGAGCAGAGAAACAGCTGACTTCAGCAAGTTATTTGTAAAATGTCAATGCTGAAAAATGCAGCAGCTCCTGAGCATCAACATACTCCAGATTGTTGAATATATCTGTCTAATGTAACAAAGATTGTTTTGCAATTAATGGTGTAATATATTGTCTAACAAATAAAACGTTTTTTTTTCATTACATTTTGTTTATAAGATTGAAAAAGAAAATAATTTCGATTACTTGCATTATGTTTATGGCCTTTCAAGTGTCCTATGATTTATTTTTAACAGGGTGTACCTGGAGGATGCATGAGTGTAGTTGAATAGATTTATAGTGATAAACTGTTTCAGGAGCTGACTCTGCACGCAGTAAACAGTTTCGTGCTGCTGGTGGACAAGGACAGAAATCTTCAGCCAGAGCAGTGTCCTGGCATCCAGGTCAGCTTTCTCCCACTTTCTCTAACTCTTGTTATTTTCATATTCATTTGGGTAGCTATAAGATTTGATTAAAGGTTGCTTTCAGCCATGCTACCAGCGTCGCTATAGGGATGAAAAATGTTTTAATTAGTTGGATAATCACTTTGAGTAGAATATCTTGATAAAAGTTGGATTACCATGAAAATGTGACTTTTACTGTCTCCAGAGGATACATCCTAATGATGTCTTAAATCCATTCTCACTAATCCAGAAAAATATTTGAACAGCATTTGACAATCAACATTTGTGAGCCACAACATGACTTGCATTTACCTTCAGACATGTTTGCTTTGTTTAGGGTTAAATATTAACCGATGGATAATCCAAAACAATCAAATTTGTTGTAAAAATGTGTTGTAAAAAGATGTACAGCAAATGTAGTGCTCATTGTACAAACTGTTTAATATGTACATTGTGAGTTTAACAGTTTCTTGATACATTTTCAGTGGTGGACTTTCACTGGGATTCTGCCATTAATTGGTGTTAATTAATTGTTGACTTTGTGTTTGTTTGGAAAGCATTTTTTTCTGCTCGAGTTGATATGCAACATTGCAGTCATGTTTAGTAAAAAACACAAAGGGGGTTATGTTGCAAACAACGATGCTAGAATTTCTCCGTTGTTTATTCTTTGGAATGAAACATGTAGATGTATTTCTGACACTTGTGTCCTCTAAGCAGACTGAAGTGGTGACTTCGATGAAAGCCCTGTTGAAGCTGGTGGAGGCGAGTCAGCTAAGCTCTCGTCTGGACGGAGCGATGTCTCACAGCCCCTGTGACTGGATAGAGCTGCACCAGGTGAGACATGACAGCACATTACCTGCTGCTCTTCTTTAACGGAGTACTTTCATCATGATTTACTCCTGTCCACATATTTTATTCTCTAGAAACTCTTCCCATTTGTGTCTGATCTTCATGAGGCATCCAGCCTTCTACTGAGAGCCATCAGTAGGTTAGAGGAGCCCCAGAGGACCGACACTGTACAGGTACCTTTCTTTTGACTGCTTACTCATGTAATTTAGGTATTAAAAGTTGTGATTATCTTCAGTTATTTAAAGGTAGGGTAGGTAAGAATGGAGAAACCAGCTTGAGTGCTCTAGAATTTGAAACTACTTAGCCGAAAAAAATCTGCCCCTTCCTTCAGACTTCCTTACACACACGAACGCGCACATGACCAATGAGGGCACGAGATACGTTTGTGCACAGATGGAAGGCTGACAGACAGGTAGGCCATCCAGTTATTTTAGCTGGGTCGGCTCAGATGATTGGTCGTGCTTTTTACAGCGCTACGGCTTCCACAGATGACATTTTTCTAATGTATTTATTTATTGTCAAAGCATTTCATGTATTCATTGCTATCAAGATGTTAAGAGCATTCCATGGAATATAACAAAAAGTGTTTCTGAAATAAATTACATACCCCACCTTTATTTAACTCAGTTTATGTTTTTTTTACAGAAGAGACTTAAAACATAGATCCATTGACATACAAATTCTGGGGGGGGGCGATTGTTTCGTCTCCAATCATATCTTCTATCTGAGATACGAAAAGAGAGGGGTTTTAGGTTGCCATCAGGCTGTTGACGGTCTTATTATACATCCATTAGTTGGTTTTGTGGCACATTTGTAACGCTGTGCCAACTTGAGCGAGCACACAGGGTGGAGAGGTTGAGCGAGGGAGAGAGAGAGACAGAGAGAGAGGTTGAGCGAGGGAGAGAGCGTGTGCATCGGTCTGCTTACGCACAGAGCAGGAGTTTGTGAGATATATAATTGCTTGTCCCTGGCTGACTTGCTAGCTCGTTGGTAACGTAACTGATTTCTTCTAATGTGCCTGCATCTGGCGCTGAGTTGCCATATTCCTTTTGTGAGCTCTTTTTGTTCGTGAACCACTTCCTGATATCCATTGTTGCAGATAAATATAAATGATAATAGCAGAAATAACCTAGCAAGAGTAAACTGACAGGCTGCTGTGCCGCATCTCACTTAAAAAAAAAACACACTTAAAAAAAAAAACTAAAACGACTCAACCCAGCGAGAAACCAGTCTCGCACGCAGACTTTCATTCAGAATTTCCTAGCAAAATTTAAAAAATGATATTAAACTAATCTTTCAACATAGTTTAATCCAAACATAAATATTAGGACAAAGCCCTACAAATAACAACATCCGGTCCGAGCACACACACAGACCCACAGCCAGGCTGCAGGTGTGTGTGTGTGTGTGTGTTCTCCGGCCGAGCTCGGGCCAGGCCTCGCCATGTCCCGCCGCCCCGAAGACCCCACGCAGCAACCAGGAAACAACACCAGCAGCAAGCCAGCTCACACTGTCCGCTCTAGCAGCGAGCCCCGTAATGTCCCGCCAACGTTTAAAAAAGTGAAAGGAGCCGGCCTTTCTGCACGACTGTCGCTCAAATGCGGGACATAGTCTCAATTTGTGGGACACCTGGTCGCATACACGGTGCTGCCCGCGTCCAACGACCACTACACCACTGCTAACGCCATTGTAACACATAATCAATGATGTTCCGCTGTAACGGTGGTGGACTCATCAGAACAGAGTGGGCGAGCTGACCAATCAGAGCACACTGGGCTCACAGGGAGGGGGGGCAGGAGCTCCAACAAGCATTTAGGACAGAGAGTGAATACACATACAATACAGAGATACTGTATGAGAAACCAATGTGAGTTTGGAAAATTGCACAATATAAATCTATTCTAGTAGACCTCAACAATGGAATTATGATTCGTAGAAATGGCCATGACATGGGACCTTTTAAATATCTGGCTTATAGTTATCAATTTGTTAAAAGTTGGAAAAAATTGAAAAAAGAAGAAGCATAAATGTTGATGTGAAGGAATTATTGTATGACTAACTCATTTTAATATAAATGTATTTCTGTCCAACAGTGTGTGCAGCAGTGCATGGTGGACCAGAGGACTCTGATGAGGAATGTACTGGAGGACAGCCGATTGGTCGAACTGCAGAGGGAGGGCGGGGCCGTCCTGGCGAGGTTAAGAAAGGAGAGTGACCTCAAGTACCCCCACTGCGAGGAGCTCAGGTAAACCTCTCACTACTGCATTCACATGTACTGAATGTCTTTGTGAGGGGTGAAATGTTTCTGTTTTCTTACTAAATAGTTGTATTTCTCTCAAGCCTATGGTCTATCTTTCTCCCATGTGCAGTGACGCAGTGGACTCGGTGTCCAGCCTGTACAACTACGTGGAGGAGCAAGCTCACGTCCTCGTGCAGAGGTCCAACATGTCTGTGGAACACCTGGAGTACCTGCTGCAACTCAGAGAGATGGAGGGACACTTCACGCAGGTGTGTTATCCAAGCTCATCAATGAAGTCGTACACATACGCACATATACATTTAAATATGAACTTAAATAGTTTACTGATTAGATTAGGACTTTTTAAAGTAAGTTACACATGTACATGCTCATACTAACAAACACAACATTTTTTTGCCTCTCCCTTCCCTGCAGATGCAACAGTGGTTTACTGTAGAGGGAGAGCGCCACCTGCCCGAGGCTGAGTCAGTCGAGGACTCTGGAGAGCAAATGGAGCAGACCCTCAATAGCTTTACTCGCTTCCTCATTGAAGCTAATGTGAGTCTATGTTTTCTTGTGGCTATTATCGTGTGTTTGGGTGCCTCTGTCCGTCCACCTGTCTGAATCTCTCTCTCCCTCCTCCTGCAGGACCGCAGACACCACGCCATGACGTTAGTGTCAGAGGCAGAGCTCCTCCAGCAGAGTGGGCTCTCCTACCCAGAGACGGAGGAGTTCTGGACTCTAGTCTGCTCCTTCAAGTCAGGCCTGGAGGAGTTCCTGTGCAGAGCAGAGGCCTGCGGCAGGGAGCTGCAGACCATGGTCAACGTGTGTGATTTCTGTGAGCAGGTTGGTGTGAGACATTACAACAGTTATCAGTAAACATTCAAGTATTCAAGCTTCGTATACAGCTAGTGCTTTTACCCCAAATAGTGTTCTGATAATTATTTGCAAATATAACTTTGCACATTAATGCATACAGTATACCGTATACTATTACTATAACCACCACTATACATCCTTGTTGCAGAATGATGCAGGGCCAAAAATAACCAATCACGCATCAATGTAACTGAAAAGGGTTTTCAAATACTTCTCTAAAAACAGTTATTCCTCGTCAAATTTAGTACATTGAAGTATTTTTTAGTCAATACGTTTTTTGTTGAATCATTTGTTGTTGCCTAAACACTCCTTACTCTTTTAGGATGATTTCAAATGAATAATTAAAGGTCATTACTTAGAAATGAAAGCCATTGCAATGCATTTTTTGCTCTTTCACAGAGATGTAATCACTTCCAAGAAAGCAGTTTTTGTATGTGCTGATGATAGTGAAGTGCAATCCTGCTTCTTCTTCACTGACATTTGTTTCAGGTTATAGAATTTATGTCTGTGGAGGGTAATATGATATTAAAGAAGTAGATGAGAGCATGAACATTTCTTATCATGAATAATACAAATAACTTCTCATATCTCGAAATAGGCTAATGCTCTGGCCAGCGAATGCATTGAGTACCTGGACCAGACTCAATCCAGAATCTACCAAAAGCAAAACCGTGACCAGGATACAGCACCTGTCAATCAAGCCAACACTCAGCCAATACAGCGCCGCAACCAAGACCCTCGATCGAGCACTGCATCCCTTTTCCCATCTGATGCATCCCGCCCAACCACCACCAGTGTTATACCGTCAAGCAGTGACACCTCCGTCCTCCAGACCTTCCAAGACAGGTTCCTCCAGTTCAGCCCAGATACATTTCAGGAAGTGAAGGCCCAGGCCAGCGCCCTGAGGGGCTCCAGGGGGATGCAGGTCTGGAACGTAGCCTGGCTGCGATGCCAGGAGGCCAGGCAGCAGCTTCAGGAGAGGATCCAGGAAGTGGATGAGGTTTTCCACCCTGAACCAGACTCTAGCAGCTGGTGTGAAGGTCATTATGTTGATGTGGTGAGCACTACTGTTCAGGCACCGTCGCCTGGGAGCCAGAGTCTGGTGGTACAGTCAACACCCGGACCTGGTCACCCACAGTGGGAGGGCATCGTGTCGGGAGCCGTGGATTTAGGGAAGAGAAGGCCGATCCTGGGCAGCAACAACACAGACCCAACATCTGCAGCCTGCTCTAACATCAAACCTGAAGATCACAGCCAGGGGTCAAAGGTCCCTCCACAGTCCCCTCACAGGTAATATGTTGGTCCATTCACCTCACTTGGGTAGGATTTGGTATTTTTCAACAGGATTCAGAGTTTGGTTGGATTAGTCAACTAATACACTAGTTGACTAATCATACAAATAATTAATCATCAATCAACTATTTTAACAATCTATTAATTGATTAAGTCGTTTTTTATGTGAAAATGGCAGATAATGCTATGTTTTATATCATAATATTTTGGACTGACAAAACACAACATTTAAAGACCTTAACCAGGACTTAGAAAAAAGTGGGATGGTAATGTTTCAACTTTACAGAGCAGAGCAAAACATGAATTGATTGATCTCATCTGTTCCCTCTAAAGTGAAGGTCTGTGATGTTTCCACTGTGTCAAATACTCTGTTAAGGTGCCTTTTCATAATCTAATAGTAGGACGGCAAGGAGAACAGAAAGAGAGACGAGGAGACAGACGAGCAGAGCGAGGAGCGAGAGGGACGCCGCTGCTCTGTCTCAGTCCCACACTGTCGGCTGCCAGTGGTTTCCATGGGGACGAGGTCTTGGATCCAGGTCGGTGAGTCAGGACTCGTGCATCACAGCAGCAGCGACGGCGGGGTCCTCCACTCCTCCAGAGCAGCGGGGGCGCCCCTCCTCGTCCTGCTCACACCACGGCCAGCCGTCCTGTCGGATCCTCCAGGAGGCTCAGAAGTTCCAGCTGTCCCGACACGGCAGCTTCTGCTCCGAGGACTCCTGTATGAGCGACCGGGGGGCAGCGGGGGGGGACGGGACTTTAGGCTGCAAACACTCCAGCCTGCCCATCGGGAGATATGAGGGGGCCTTTGGTTCGGCAAATCCACAGGAGAGTGCCAGCAATGCACTGTAAGTTTACTTCATGTGGGTGAAGTGTGCTTGCATTGCTAATCTAATTAATCTTACTTTGTCTCTGCAAGATATCATTCTGTGAGTTGATTGACATGCCTTTATTTTACTAATGTTGTGAGTCTTAATGACATTTCATGCACTCTTTTCTGCCTCTAAGCCTCCAATGAAGTGCTACAGGTATCGTTTTCTCTGCTTCTCTTCCCTTCTCTTTTTGCACTAGTCAACTTTTTGTTTTTTTCTATCACAGTGCATGGAGTAAGATTAAAAGGACAGCATGTCAATGTATCATCTGCTGAAACGTTAAATGACTTTGTCAATATGCTTTCAATGCACGTTTAAAAAACTACGACTACAAGTACCTAATTCAGATATAACTAAATACCAGAAATCTGAGAATTCAGTATCAATTAGCTGTAAAACCAATCAAGGAGTAACATTGTGAGAAACAATAATGTAAAAAGCATTTGTGAGTGACCTTAGTATTCACAGAACTACCAATATGAGAATTAAAAACATTTACTTATATGATTGGTTTTGTACAGATGCAGAGAGCACATAAAATATGTATTCAACGGTTGAAGAGATACAATTTTTTATTTGCAAATACTACTAGCTAATAAATATATTTATGAAGAATATGCTCTTGAGTGTCATAGGTCTGAAGTTCTTTCTGTCTTCCCAGGAGGCTGCAGCGTGTCCTGGAGGAGCTGGTGTTCACAGAGAGGGAGTACGTCCGCTCTCTGGGCTACATCCTGACGCACTACCTCCCCCTGCTGGACCGACCCGACATCCCCCAGGACCTCCGGGGGAAGAGAGGCGTCATCTTCGGTAACCTGGAGAAGCTTTACGACTTCCACAGCCACTATTTCCTGCCGGAGCTGGAGGCCTGCCAGAGGGAGCCCGCCATGGTGGCCCGCTGCTTCCTCAGACATGTGAGGAGTAACTCCACAACTGTCATAAATATATAACTGTATAAATAATTTGTTTTTGTATAATATTATAAATTCTCGTTAATATATATTTATTACATTACATGTCACTTGTTAGACGCTTTCTTCCAAAGCGACATATATAGATTCAGTACTGTGGGCAATCCCCACAAGAGCAGGTGTCTTGCCCAGGGACACAACGACATGCTGACTGCAGTGGGACTCGAACTTGCTATCCCCTGATTCAGAAGTTCAGCGCACTATTCCACTGAGCCACAGCCTCCCTATGAATTTATGAAGCAACAAACCACTTGTTTTAGCTTAGTTTTTTTTATCTGATTGGGTTATTTATGTTATTAGGGTCTGAGACCAGAGGTCGGCGAAGACCCTATTCTAATCGCTCGCGCAGCGATAACCAACACATAACATGGAAAACGACGGGCAAAAGCACAGAAAAAGTGGCCTGACAGTAGGTAGCCTGCGCCAGCCTAGTGACATGAGCGCTTACTTTGACCCCCGCAAAATAATGTGAAAACTCACCTAATTGTGCACGCGTGTCAGGACTGGTGAAAATTGCGATGTGTAATTGGTTCCAGAAGTTTGCGTAAAAAATTGCACAAGCCACACCCACTTCCGTTTTTAACGTAAACTCCCCCACTTTCACTTTCACGTAAACAAACGAAACTCGCTACGTATATCTAGGGTGCGGAGACAAACCAAAAAGCCTCTAGGAAGTGTATACAAAAACGTACAGGAAGTCGGCCATTTCACGTTCGCTCGATGCTTGCCGTTCCCTCGCCATGGAACACGATGATGTCATAACTCCACCTGACATGCTCAGAACACCACCAAACATCACATGATGGTTAACACTGTGGCCCTGAACAGCTCTACGTCAAATCTGATGTGGCATAATGTGACGTTACCATGGCAACGCATCCCTCGCCATAAAACCCGATGTCGCTGTAACTCCAATGGACACGATCTTCCCCAATCTTCACTTGTATATCACCGGTCCATGCCTCAACAGCTCTACGCCAAATCTGACATTTCACCATATGCCGTTTCCATGGCACGGCAGGGTCCGTTACAGTTTGTTTTCATCTGATTTAAAATAAACAAAGTCTTGGCTTTCAGAATATTAAACTTGTTTCGGTAAATTCAGATGATAAATACAACTTTGAAGCTTGTAACGGCTTAATTATAAGCGGAGAACAGAGTAACTTAACGTCACAGCAGCCGTGCCGCGCCACACTAATTGCGCCGCATAAGCGCATACTGTAGGTGCGCTGCATTTTCGGCTCAGTTGAGGCCCCCTCTGCAAGGTGAGGCCCCCTCTGCAAGGTGAGGCCCCACGCAGTCCGCGTGATCGGCCTGTAGGGAGAGACGGCCCTGGTGTTACTGCTCTAACTCCTAAAGATATTGTCCGATCAACCTGAAATTTCCCACGTTTGCTAACGGCCGAGTCCGGCAAACATCTGCGTAACGTCAGCCTGCAGTGCGTCGAAGACCCGCTCAACGCTGCTTGTTTTTGTTCTCTTTAGTTTGTTGTCTTGTTTTGTTTCTTTGAAAGCAGTAATTTTGTGTCCTTGTTTCTCTTTATAGTATATTTTAGATCTCTTTGCAGTTGTTATGCATTTATGCATCACTTTATATTCATTCTGTGTCTCTTTGTCGTCATTTTACGTTTATTTCAAAGTCATTTTGTGTCTTTTTTGTCATTTTAAGTTTATTTTAGTAGTTTTGTCGTCATTTAAATGTATGCTTTAGTCATTTTAAGTAGATTTTTTGTCATTTTAAGTTTATTTTTATGTCATTTTGTCTCTTGGTCGTCATTTTAAGTTAATTTGTGTGTCTCTCTTTACTCATTTGAAGTAGATTCCTTTGTCATTATGTCTCTTTTGTGGTTATCTTGACCCTTATCAAAGTGGTTCCTGAGTCTAACATTGGTCATTTTAAACCTCTCTCTGAAGCGTGACCCTCTTGTTTGACCCCACAAACAGAATATTTTTTTTTTTTTTCTTAAACCATTCCNATAATTCAATAAAAGCAGTTTTATTCCTATGAAGAGCATAGTATAAAACCATTTTATTTTGTGTCAATTGGATGAAGTAACACCTTTACATTTAGAAACAGGTCAAAATGTTTTACTACTAAATTGTTATTTTTGTATAATTGTATTATTATTCAAGTCTTTGTGTCTCTTTGTATTCTTGTTGTGTCTCTTAAGTCATTTTGTTTGTTTTTCTGTCTCTAGTGACCGTAGTTTATTTTTCTGTCTCCATTATTTTCTCTTTGTTGTTTATTAATGTGTGTTTTTTGCAGTCATTTTGTGTCTCTTTGTAGTTTATTGTGCCGCTCTCTTTGTAGTTTCTTTTGTCTCTTTATAATTGATTTTGTGTCTCTGTAGTCATTTTTATCTTTTGGGTCATTTTGTCTCTCTGTGGTTATCTTATATATATTTATTTCTGTGAGTGTATGTCATCCCCCATCACCTTTTCTGGCCCAAAACAAACTCCTTTCACCATCAGTTACCAACCTGGGTGTAAGATTTGACCGACATCTGACCTTTGACACCCACATCAAGCAAAACGTCCTTCTACCCTACCACCTCAGGAACGTTTGCAAAACTCCGTCCACACTCTCCCTGTCAGACGCTGAGAAACTGGTCCATGCCTTTGTCTCCTCAGAAACTTAAAATGAAAGAAAAATAGACAAAATGACTAAAAGGTGATGGGGGATGACCTACACTCACAGAAATAAATACATAAGATAACCACAGAGAGACAAAATAACCCAAAAGATACAAATGACTACAAAGACACAAAATCAATTATGAAGAGACAAAATAAACTACAGAGTCAAAGGAAACTACAAAGAGAGCGGCACAATAAACTATAAAGAGACACAAAATGACAAAACATGACTGCAAAAAACACACATTAATGAACAACAAAGAAAAAATAATAGAGACAAAAAAATAAACTACGGTCACTAGAGACAGAAAACCAAAGAAAAGGACTTCAAAGAGACACAAAATGAATACAAATAGATACAGAGGGACAAAGAGACACAAAGACTTGAATAATAATACAATTACACAAAAATAACAATTATAATAGTAAAACATTTTGAGCTGTTTCTAAATGTTATTATTAGGTCAAATATTTCTGTGAGTACTTTTACAACTTATTTTTTTAGATTGTTGTTTATGTTCAACACCAAATCAAATTCCTTCCCATGTGTAAACGAGCCTGGCAATAAACCTGTTTCTGATTAGTAATAATACTAAATTAGAAATAGAAGAGCTTTGAAAATATGGGAAACATGTGACGACACAAAGGACAATGACAAGAGGATTAAAGCGTGAATTCATCCTTATTTTGTCTTTGATTTAGTGTTTGTGATTATCATTGCAATGTAGTTTGTTTTTGTTCTCTTTAGTTTGTTGTGTTGTTTTGTTTCTTTGAAAGCAGTAATGTTGTGTTCTTGTTTCTCTTTATAGTATATTCTAAGTCTCTTTGCAGTTGTTATGCATTTATGCATCACTTTATATTCATTCTGTGTCTCTTTGTCGTCATTTTAAGTTTATTTATTGTTATTTTGTATCTTTTTTGTCATTTTAAGTTTATTTTAGTCATTTTGTCGTCATTTAAGTTTATGCTTTAGTCATTTTAAGTAGATTTTAAGTAGACTTTTTGTCATTGTCTCTCTTTTTTGTCATTTTAAGTTCATTTTTATGTCATTTTGTCTCTTGGTCGTCATTTTAAGTTAATTTGTGTGTCTCTCTTTACTCATTTGAAGTAGATTCCTTTGTCATTATGTCTCTTTGTGGTTATCTTGACCCTTATCAAAGTGGTTCTGAGTCTAACATTGGTCATTTAAACTCTCTCTGAAGCGCTGACCCTTTGTTGACCCACACAGATTTCTTAAACTCATTCCAGTAACGCGTAAAAGGGAGTCGAACATCTGTCCTCAGTTCCTGTTTCTCAGATGTTCTGAAACCTTTTCACAATGTTTAATGGAATTACAAAACCAACATAATTCAATAAAAGCAGTTTTATTCCTATGAAGAGCATAGTATAAAACCATTTTATTTTGTGTTAATTGGATGTAGTAACACCTTTACATTTAGAAACAGGTCAAAATGTTTTACTATTATAATTGTTATTTTTGTATAATTGTATTATTATTCAAGTCTTTGTGTCTCTTTGTATTCTTGTTGTGTCTCTTTTAAGTCATTTTGTTTGATTTTCTGTCTCTAGTGACCGTAGTTTATTTTTTTGTATCTATTATTTTCTCTTTGTTGTTTATTAATGTGTTTTTTGCAGTCATGTTTTGTCATTTTGTGTCTCTTTGTAGTTTGTTGTGCCGCTCTCTTTGTAGTTTATTTTGTCTCTTTAAAATTGATTTGACATTGGAGATAATTGATATATATAATTGATGACTCTGTAGTAATATTTTTCAAACACAATGTTTATGATACTGCTGTAACTCCAATGTACGTTGTCCGATCGGCCTGACACATACGTGACACGTCGACGTGCGGACAACATCGAAGAAGACCCCCTCAATGCTGCTTGCAGCTTTCATTTTTATTATTATTTAATTTGAATAATTTAAAAAAATTGCTCTTGAAATTTAATAAAAATCCCACCCTACTTCACTTACAGGATTTCAGTCAAATAATCTATGATCAATACTATACTGTTTTATTATTGAACATATATGTGGCTTCTAAGAGTTAATTGTCTGCTTTTTAATGTCATACATTTTCTAATATGGTTTAAACTGGGGCTCTTCCACAGAGTGAGAGCTTTGGCCTGTACGCTCTGTACAGCAAGAACAAACCACTGTCAGACGCCCTGATCCTGCACCGCCGCCATGACATATTCAAGGTCAGTTTCTGCCCTATTTTGCTCTTATAGGAATGTCTTACCCAATAAAATGACCAATTGTACGAAGAATCCAACAGCAGGTTACATTTTTAATGAATTGAAGTAGATTGAGCCTTGTTTAACAACATCCAAACTTCACCAAAAGCTCCTGCAGAATAATTTAAAGCTCTCCTATTATACTATTTTTAGACATATATTATAGGTCTCAGATATATAAAAAACATGTCTATGAAGTGTTTTGCTCAAAATACTAAACAGATCAGCCATTCTAGCAATGCCTCATACCCCTCTATTTCAGCCCTGTTAGAGAAATGCTGATTCTGGGTCCGTAGCTTACAGCGTTAGCTCTGAATGTTAGCAATGCTTGAATATAACTTCCAAAACATGTCGCAAATTGTTTCTGATACAGTCACGTTTTTAATAGGGCCGTAGGTGTAAAGCCAGCCCAAATTTCCGATATTACATCATGACTTTGCCATTTTGGATCAGCTCAGTTACGTGTACCCCCGTTTTTTCAGAGATGTGGGTAAGGAGGAAAAGAGAGATGTTTTTTTTTTTTCTGAGTCTCCTGACACACCGGGGGCATATATTTATGTATAGAAGACATCAAAAAGTGCATTTTGCATAATAGGGGACCTTTAAGTCTCATTTATTATATTTCATGTTTGCTTCCCTCAAACCCAGGCATGTTTGCATTCATTTAAGGCATTTTTCTGTAGTCCTGTGCTTAAACCCTAATTGTAATAGGTAATACATTTCATCACACCCTGGGAGTGTTATTGCCATGCTTCACAGATGTGCACTCACACTTTGTTCGTCCCCGCAGAAGAAGCAGCAGGAGCTGGGGGACATGATGGACCTGTCCTCCTACCTGCTGAGGCCCATCCAGAGGATCAGCAAGTACAGCCTCCTGCTGCAGGACATGCTGGCTCTGTCTGGCTCACACAGGCCCAAAGACATGATCCAGGACTCACTGCTCGCTTCCAGCATGTGCCCACAGAGTGTGAGTGGCCCGGGTTCATATGTGCCTGATCAGATGAGCAGGGAGAGGGAGCGAGAGAGTGCTGAGATCCAGGCTGCTGCAGATCTGGTCCGCTTTCAAATGCGTCATGGCAACGATTTGCTCACCATGGATGCCATCCAGGACTGTGATGTAAGATAATACAATGAAATATAATTAATACTTGATACACAGCAGTTCAATACAAATGTTTTCTTTTCTGCTCTGCTGCACATTTCTCTGCGCTATCAGGTGAATTTAAAGGAGCAGGGCCAGCTGATTCGCCAGGATGAGTTCAATGTTTTCTTCCGGAAGAAGAAATGTGTCCGCCGCATCTTTCTATTTGAAGATCTCATCCTCTTCAGCAAAACTAAGAAGACAGTTATTGGCAACGATGTTTATGTCTACAAGCAGTCATTCAAGGTAAGCACACATCCTGTTTTATCAAAATGCTTGATATTCAACCTCATTTTGATATGCACTATATTCTACTTCCTTGGTTTTTTGTTAGTTTTGATGCAAAGCTTCCTAATGAAGCAGAATTATCCAACCACACTTGATTATTTTTACCAGTGTATTTTCTGTGTTTTCTCTCCCAGACTAGCGACATTGGGATGACTCACAACTCCAGTGTGAGCAATTTGTGTTTTGAGATCTGGTTCCGCAGGAGGAAAAGTGGGGACACCTACACCCTGAAGGCCCCCAGCATGGAGGTGAAGAAATCCTGGACCACCGACCTGGAGAGGATTCTGTGGGATCAGGCCGCCCACAGCAGAGGTAGTAGCTACAACATACACTGTATCTTATTTAAATAGTACTTAGCTTAGCACAGTTTACTAAGTGCTGCATATATATGTTTCAGATTTGCGTTTGCAGGAGAGGGTTTTCATGGGAATGGGCCGCAAACCTTTTATGGACATTCAACCCAGCGATGCTGCCATCTGTGATCGATCCGTCAGCTGCGCCCTGCCTGGGAGAAGTAAGAAGCTGCACACACTAACATTTATTTTTAGAAAGCTTCAGAATATTTTTTACTGAAGAGAGAACATTTAGAAACTTTAACAAGTTTGATCCTACTTATTTCATAATACACACTCAATCTACAGGTTTAAATATATTTCATCATTTATGTTATTTATCGTGCAATATAATATTTCAGCTATATTTACTTATTTTGAATTGCCAAAACTGTTGTCTGGATAGTACTTAGTGTACCAGACTCTAGTATATCAGCGTTTGGATGGATTCCCAACATTTGCTTTAGTGTCACCATTGGGTTCTCACATGCATGTTTTTAGTGAAATATCTCAACTGCCAGCTTGATTGTCATAAAATGTAATGCAAACAATTATGTTCCCCTCGGGATGAATTGTAATACCTTTGTTGATACCCTGACTTATCACCTACCCCCATCATCAGGTCAACATTTAAATTTGATTTATGGCCAAATACCTGCAAAACTAATTAAATTCCCATCTGCCTCAGCTGTGCTAATAAGCAAATGTTAGCATGCTAATGTTGCTAAACTAAAATGATGAACATGGTAAACATTATATTTCCTAAACATTAGCATGTTAACATTTTGAGCATGTTAGCATTTCACTTTAAGCTCTGCTGTGCACAGCCAACATGGCGGCTTGCATGGCTGTATATTCTGTGGATTTTGAGTCGTGTTTACCTTTAAAATGTTTTGAGATTTCATTTGTTTTTACTTTTACATTTTGTTGTTATGTTTATCTAAAAAAAACAGTCACTAACTGACCCAGCCCATTTTTTTCTCATTGATGACATCCATCCATGTGTGTCGTCAGTCCCTGTGGCGTGTTATTCACACAGGGGCTTAGAGTATCCACGACCTCACTCCATTGGCTCTGGCAGCACCGCTTCCACGACTATAAGCCAATCATCTTCCTCCTCTGGACGGGGCTCGCTACCCCCAGCTGGTTATCCCGGGAACCAATCACAGGGAGCGGAGACCGGTCTTTCTGTCTACTCTTCCCCTGAGGCTGTGACTGAAAATGAAATCAACAATCTTCACCTTCGTCAGTATCATCTTCATCGTAACTGTGAACAATGGAAAAGCAATCACCTACTAAGTACGTTTTGTTTTGTTTTTTGATAACAGAAGGGTCTGTTGGAAGTTGATTTCTTGGCTCAATAACTATCTAAATGAATAAACATAATCTGATTGTTTTTTAAAGTACCTGTTTCTGCTTCAGTGGACAGCACCTCATCATCTGGAGAACACATCAACGTCTTCAGCAGCTCGGACCGCAGCTGCCTGTCTGCCATTAATGCAGAGGTAGTGGATGACTCCTCCTCCGTTGTATCCCAGAGTTCAGTACACCACCCACCAGTTTGCCGGACCCCCAGCCTGAGGGGAGACAGCTCACCAACGATTACAAGAAAGAAACCAGGTGTCGCCCCCAAACCTCCACATCTGGCTAATGCTCAGCTACAGGTGAAGGAGTAACAAGATGAAGAAGACCTTCTGAATTTATGTGTGAGCTGAAGACAATGGGTCGAATATCAAAGTATTCTCAATCACATGTTGCTTCTCTAATGAATCAGAGTCAGAAACTGGTTTATTGCCAAGTCGGTTAACACATACGGGGAATTTCCCCTTGAAAAACAATTGAAACTATTATACGTTAAGATATAGAAAAGTAAACATGAAATCTGGATATACTAAAAAAAATGCAGAATACTATTGCAAAGTACTTAGAATAATACGATAAAATAAAAAAAGAATATGTGCAATGTTGTTTTGGAAAGTGGACGAGATGTATCTTGTGTACAAATTGTGCAGGACTGGCAATACTTAAATGAAATAAATAAAAACATGAAATAGTTTGCAAAGTGTGCATTAATGTCATGCATACAGTATAGAGTGGCTGAAGGCACTTAAGGAGGTTTTGAAAGGGTCCAAATATGTGTCAAGAATTCAGCATAAATACTACAATATGCTACTGAGAAGACAAACAACGTATAACAGATGTAGTATTGTTAACCAAGACATCATGTTATAGGCTTGTTTTTTGAACATTTTATTATATTGAAGTATCAAAAGTAATATTCGATATCTTGCATTGCAGGGGGATGACATTATAATTGGAAAATCGACAGAAGTATAACCCTGGATTCCCTGCAAAAGGTACAAATGTAAATTTCTTAAATTAACATGTGAAAGTGAAAGTATAGGAAAATAAAACAGATCCAAGTTTTAATATTCTTAATTTCCACTTTGAAAAGTTAAATATAGTTACTAGTATTTACATTTAAGGGAATTTATTCATATCAATTGCTAGAATTATTAATATTTTAAAAGTCGAATTCAATCATCCAGCCATCTCAGATGACCTTGCTTAGCATCAAATGTATTGTTATTATTATTGTTTTGTTGTTGTTTTCATCAATATTCTCTGTAGTAATATCAAATTGTGCCTTGAATATTGTTGCAGATAGTCGGTGTTCTGAAGCTGCTCCGTCCTGTTGGAGAGCCTCCAGCTGCCCTGCAGAGTGAACACACACATTTCATGCTCCACAGTCACGCGGCTGCCAGCTTTGTCTGGTCACAAGGTTTTTAGTTTTCAGTGATTTATTGAACCAACTGAGGTTTGGTTTGTTGATATCACATGGCAGTCATTTACATGTGGTATTCTCATGTGTCTTATATCACATATAGTCTAAAATTACCACACACAAAAAGATGATGTAGTTGAAATATTGGTCATAAGGTACACACAGACAGACAGACAGACAGACAGAGACACACACACACACACACACACACACACACACACACACACACACACACACCATGTTGTGGGATCTTCTGTGCTATACAGCCTACAATTATTAACAGCAGGGATCATAGAGTGTTTTCTTTATTATCTTCTAGAAATGGCACAATGCTGGTTCACAAACAGAGAACCAGCATTACCACACATGAGGGAGTCCCTTTCAGGTGTATTGCCAGAGCACTGCTTGAGAAACAGCTGTACAACATAATTCTCCTGACAGCTGGACTACATTGTTTTGATTACAGGATCATGAAGGGAACTTAATGGAGTCCAACTGCTGAGCTATCCCCTGGCAATAGGCCCAGTACTCGCTGCAGTTACAGAACTTAACTGATTACCATAAATGGAGAAGGATTCAATACGCAGAACCTGAATGGATTTTATATGTAGAAATAATATATATCTAGGGATATTTGTTTTCTCCTACAGTTAAAGGTTTTCTGTTTATTTATGTACTACTGCTGTGTTTTTAAACAAATGTTTGTATCAGGTTTGTATCTGTCTGGCTCTGAGATTCTTACAGTAGTCCTGTATTCAAAGAATTATTTGAAGGGACAGACCACTAGCTCATGTGCTTTCACATCAGGATTTGAACTACTTTGAAATAATTTAGCATACACACTCAGACACACACATTATGACGTACATGCTGAGGTACCACTTACTGTCTTTAAGGGTCCACTTATGCTTACATACTGATCCATTTCCCAGCTACATCCTCAAGTAAATCACCATTACAGAAAGTTATTCTCATATGATTTTTGTTTCTTAATGAGTTATTTATGAAGGTCTGTGATTTGTATTGTACATTATACAAGTGGCAGGATCGTAAAAAAACTGAGGTCATAATGTTGTCCTCTGGTTATTTTAATTTCAAAGCCACTATCTTTTTAAAACATGGCAGATCCATGTTTTTTTATTTCTTACTGCTTTAGCTTTCTTTCTTTCATTTATTTTTTTCATTGTTTCAATATTCAAATGTGGGGTCAGTACGGTTGTTGTTTTCTTTCTTTCTTCTTGTGTTTTATTTTAAGATAAATCACATTGTGTGGTTTCTCGCCTCTGGGCTCTGACCAGACAGACTGCCGTAACATGAGGATGTCATCCGACAGCTTCACTTCCTTATTCCACAGACACATAATTCCTTAAAGACTGTAGACACTTGTTGCAATCTGTTTCATTTCCCTAGGTGCAGATTCTATTTTGGTGCTAAAGCAGTTGAAATGTCTTTCAGTTATTTCTTTTGTGTGTCAGGGAGATTTCTCTCGCATTTTGCCGATACATTTGATTAAATATAGGCTCTCATAGTCTAATAAACAATGTTTTACCTTTTTAAATGTGCATTTAATCAGGAAACAGCACATCGAGGCTTTGCTTTCATTATCTATAGCATCCTTCAGTAAGTGAACATTTTAAAAGTGAAAGACTCACCATGTGATCTGAGAAAAGTGTGTGCCTTGCATAAGAAAAAAACAGCTACAATCAGTTGCATTCAAGTTTTAACTGTATGATGTGTAAATTCCTGTGTTACATTATATAATGTCATGTATCAGTTGTTGGAACATTGTGTTAATGTTGAATCATTATACCAATTCACAGTATGTTGCAGCTCCAAAGAATGACATAAATAATTTATGAAAAAATGTTATTCTTATTATTATTATTATGTTTATATTTATTTTACAGAAATAAAATTACTATGGTTTATCTGGCACATGTACATGTGTTTAGAGTTTTATACTTTTTATAATGCATAATTATGTATGTGGCTGAAATTATTTTTAGTGTGCATTACTCATTATTTGATTTGATTCTGTTACAGTTTTTAAGCTTCTGTTCCCAAAGAAGAATCATTCACAATAGCCTTAAAGGTGGGGTAGGTAATTTATTTCAGAAACACTTTTTGTTATATTCCATGGAATGCTCTTAACATCCCGATAGCAATGAATATATTAAATGCTTTGACAATAAATACATTAAAAAAATGTAATCTGTGGAAGCACGACCAATCATTTTCGGCTAAAATAACTGGATGGCCTACCTGCCTGTCAGCCTTCCATCTGTGCACAAACTTATCTCGTGCCCTCATTGGTCATGTGCGCGTTCGTGTATTTTCAAATTATAGCTCACTCGAGCTGTTTTCTCCAAAATTACCTACCCCACCTTTAAGGCCTTGGTCGAATAAATAAAAGAGAAAAAATATGTGTTTAAGTCTAAAAACAGAACTACCGATGTAACAGATAGTAAAAAATCATGGACGGATGGGGGTGTCCAGAATCCAGATCAGGTTTCACATGCTACAAATAGGGGCCGTCCCCCTGCAGGGTCATAAAGCATTAAGCACAGGCTGAGCTGAAGTGTAACTCTACACACACAGAGGTTAAAGGACAAGAACTTCTCTGCAGACATGAGTCAAGGTAAGACAGAGAAAAACTACTTTCATTTGATCAATAAGAGGTTCAAATGTTACTAGTGGAGTTTATGATCTGAAAGGGCAGCTTATCTTTATTTAACTGCGCACAGTCAGACTTCCTTGGAGTGTCAAAGTCAAGTGTGAAATGTGATGAGCAGGAATGGACGACATTAGATATGACAGATCTCGAGGGTATCTGGGTTGAAGAATGTCTAATGATTTATTTTGTGATTTACCATCTGGAGAAACTTAAATGAGCGGATGATCAAATCTAAAGAAAGTTGTCAAAAAGTGTCTATTTAAGATACTTCTCAAAAGGCACTTTTATAGTTTTTGATAGTTTCCTTAGATCCTTCTTTCTTAACTTTCAATACTATCTGTACCATTTTTATTTAATTACTTTTTTGTTTTACCTATTTTTTTATTTTGTGTTTTATGGATAGTGCTGTTGATCACATTTGTTTTAAAGATAAACACGTTGTAGATAGAGGTTCACATTATTATTATTATTAAGTCTGATGTTCATAGTTTTAGTCTATTGACGTGTGTTTAATTTCTAATCGAGTTGACAAATTGAAATGTGTTTTACCGTCTCTACACACAGTTGTGGATATTGAGCGCTATGATCTTGACATTAAGAGAAACAGCAGCAGCCATCACACCGAGCAGTGTGGAAAGGAGCGTTTGATTGTAAGAAGGGGGCAGCCCTTCAATATCACCTTACACCTCAAGCCTGGCAGCAAAGAATTCAAGCCGGGTGAAGAAAGCTTCACACTCATTGTTGAGACTGGTAAGCATCTTAATTACCAGTGATTACATTTAGCTCTACATGCTGATCTAAAGTACTGTATATCTGTTTTGAGGGATTTATATGCATGCATGAGAATGTATGTTTTTCACCTCTGGATTTAGTATAATTTATTACATCTGTTAACCTCCAGGTCCATTACCCAGAAAAGAGTCCGACACTAAGGCTACTTTTGGTCTAAGTGACTCCACAGCAGACAATGAGTGGAGCGCTTCTGCCTCTTATGATCCCTCCGGAAACTCAGTGTCTGTCTCTATCAGCTCCTCGCCCAACGCCCCTATAGGGCTCTACTCTCTGACTCTGGACCAGGATGGGCAGAAGACCAGTTTAGGACAGTTCACCCTGCTTTTTAATCCTTGGTGCACCAGTGAGTACATATTTTCCCAAACATTTATGATCCCAAACTGCAGCTGTAAAGCAGGAAATGTTGTAAGATTTGAAATGTTTAATTTGATGCCACTGATCTAAATGTGTTGGTCTGTCTGTACTGACGAACAGGAGATGCTGTTTACATGCGCAGTGAGACGAAGAGGCAAGAGTATGTTTTAGCTCAATATGGGCTCATCTACAGGGGAGCAGCTAAACGAATCAAGGGGAAACCCTGGAACTTCGGGCAGGTAAATGAAATGTCAAATGTTTCCCCTTCAATACATTTCAGTAAACTTTACACAGGCTTTGTAATCTCTAAATGCTTCTTTTAGAGGCTGCCAGAAGTCCTTAGATGCTGCTCCACTCACACCTTCTCTTCTGGTTGTTTGTCCGTCTGTAGTTTGAACCAGGAATACTGGATATCTGTCTGAAGATCCTGGATGATAACCCCAAATTTATCTCTGATGCCAACAAGGACTGCTGTGCCAGGAGGAATCCCATCTATGTGACCAGGGTGCTGAGTGCTATGGTAGGATGTGTCCTGGCTTTAGTGACTCCCTGTGGGCGACATTTAACCAGCCCTGTGAATAGCCTTTATTTCAGCTGTGCAGTAGATAAAGATTACCATGGTGAACCACATACACCTCTGTGTGCTTCTTTACACTCTGAGTGTTATATTATCCTGCAGGGAGGGGGGACAAAGAGAAAACCCTCCTGCCTCTTTGGAAACGTTCTCGTCACCCGTGGCAACTTTTGTGATAGAAAGATGCAGAATAGAAAGGAGTTTTAATCTTCCTGTGCGGCTTTGATTTCAAGGTGATTTCAAAGAGCAGTAAAACAGATACATTATAGTCTGTTGCCGTGTTATTTTCTGCTCAAGTCAAAAAAATCTAAATTAGGAAACCAAGGCTATTTCTGCTTGTCTTGTGGTTGTCACCATATAAATCAGTACCAGATTTCAGATGAACTGTCACACTACATTTAAGTTACATAAGATAGCGAAGACGCACTCACGCAAACAATAAAAACACATTTTCACAGGTTCACTTTCTCTTTGCTTTAATTAGTTCACTCTTATTGTTAGTATAGAGAATTGTGTGCTCTGATCTATCAGTACAAACATGCATCCTTTAATACAGCATGGATATAAGAGGTCCTTCTCTATTGTCCCTTCCCTCTGGATCTATGAAGGAAACTAATTTTCCACATATTTTTATAATGACAAAATGTGGGATTTGCTACGTACACTTCCCAGAGAATAATGGCAGATTATCTGGTTGACCTTGTATTATTTTATTAAATGATTACTAATTAATATGTTTTTTATGGCTTAGAGCCGGGGATAGCAGTGGACGGAGTCATATTTTTTACTGAATGTCCGTTCCACTCTCGTGAACGCAATATATGAGGAACGGCTCGAGGGAATTTAATACGATTTTGCACAGATGTCCAATTAGTAGCGAGGAGTAATTGGTTAGAATTTGGTTCTCAGAGGTCCAATTTCAAGGTCATTGTGACCTCACACAAATAGAAAAATGATTAAGTGATGGTCAATCTATTTCTTTAATGTTTATGTAATCTGACATGATCAGATCTCTATCTTGGAGCCTATCTTGTCATGATGGATGTGTGGAGAAATATGATATTAATAATAAGGAGTCCTTAAGAGATCTGAGGGCATACTGCTTTAAAAAACTAAAACTCGGTGTTTCAACATATTGTGTTGCTGTCACTTGACAAAATGTAAATCTTTGGAAACATTTTCATTATCTCTTTCTATCCCTCTTTTGTCTCCCTCCTCTATCTCTACCCTCAGATCAACAGTAACAATGACAGAGGTGTGCTGGTGGGAGAGTGGCAGGATTTTACAGGTGGAGTTCATCCAGGAAAGTGGATCGGCAGCGGGGACATCTTGCACCAGTGGACAGAAAGTGGCCCCGTCCGCTTCGGACAATGCTGGGTCTTTGCTGCTCTTGCGTGCACAGGTTCGTGCACATTATGACGCGCATGAGTCGTGTTATGAGTCCTTGTTTGACTGTCGGTGGATTTGTTCATATATTGAGTGACACATTCTGGTACATCCTAGTCACATTCAGTGTTGGGTGTAACGCGTTACAAAAGTAACAGAGTTACAGTAGGCTAATGTATTACTTTTTTCTGTATCGAAGTAATGTAACGCATTACTAATAAAATGTGGGTAATATAGGCCTACTACCCCTTACAATCAATGCTCAGTAAGTAACGCAGTTACAAGTTACAACACAATTTAACCCGAAATGAAATGGTGTTTTGTTTTTTAAGAATTCACTAACATCGCGAGACATTCCGACACCAGAGAAAAATTGTGCAGGTAGATAGATTATTAAACCTGGTGCAGGGGTCTCTAACACGTTGGTAGCTCGCGGGCAGCTTTTCAGTATAGCTCTTCGCTTGCGGTTCACAGACTGTGGAAAAAAATCAGACGACAATAAATGCACCTGAATTAGTCCGTGTCGCTGCGGCTCAGACACTGGATTTATGTGTTAAAAAATACTCGCGTTAGCACATGTCAGGTTTTTGGTAGATTTAATCAATTATTGGATTGCAGAGTATGAATGTCCTTTTGCTATTTTCAGACGATAAATACGTGTGTAAAGTTTGTTCCTCCAAACCCCGCCCCCTCCCTGAAAATGAGTGACAGGCTGATAGTAACCTGATAGATACGTTTCACTTAATAACTGATTGAGATGTGATGAAGCTAATCTCATACATTCTTGGGATTTATGTAACAGTAAAACAGAGAATAAGTGTGCACCCACATGCAGTATTTTAGTTTTTATATGCTGTTGTAAATACTCCTGTTGTCTGCTGTGTTCAGACTGAAGTCATGTTGTGATGCCACATTCACGATATTCGGTGTCCTTTTTTCGAGCAGAGGACCGTTGCTAGAAGCTGCAGTTAGACTGCAGGAGTATTAGTTTTTAGTTTTTGAGGATGGAACATTTTCACACACAGATATATGGAGGCTAGACCTATACACTTATTTAT